ATTATTCTTGCAAGAGCATGTTTGGATATATAATGCTTGGCCTGGTTCTGAGGTCTTGTGCTCATCATATAAGGTACAGTTCAAGCCTCTCTGGCTCAAGGTTGACTCAGCCTTCCATCCTTCCGAGGTCAGTAAAATGAGGACCCAGATTGTTGGGAACAATACACTGACTCTGTAAACCACTTAGAGAGGGCTGTAAAGCACTATGAAGCAGTATATAAGTCTAAGTGCTATTGCTACTATACAGGGTGTGTGGTGTATTCACATGAGTCCATTCATTTTAGAACCCTAGGAATAATTCATAGCATTTTAAAGCAGATTTTTCTGAATTAATATCCTCTAGAAGTATTGGTTTACAATGACAGTACACTATTATTAGCAAATAGATGCTGGGAGGATGTGTATTGGTCTAGTTGCCTTTCTTCTATGCAATCTGATGGTGCTTTCAGCATTATAGCATTATCCAAAAAGATAAGCATAAAAAGGACACTGCTAGAAGCATATTGTGTGTCTACCAAGGATGGTTTTTATTATTATCTTCTTCCATTAGTAGGTATAATATTTATATGGGTAAGTTTCTTTAATAGCCAATAAGAGCTGAGCACTTCAACCTTGGGGACACGAACACAAAGAGATATGAAAATAAATCTTTTGACATATACAGTACATAGAGTGCAGTTGCATAATTCTGTCTTGCCCAACTTGTAGCATGATTACATTATTCTTTTTGTGGTTTGATTTAGAAATTTTGGATTCCCATAGTTTCCTTTTCTTGAGCAATTACCACTGACTTGCATTTGGTTAAAACTTCATGTCAGTAGCTTGGAGTCAATCTAAACATAAGGTAAATCCAGATATATTTGGTGATATTTTCTTCAAATTGTTAGTGGGAAATAATGTGACTGGTATTTTAAAGGGTTTTAACTTATTCCCTGTGATGTGAGAGAATCATATGATGTTCTTGGTCATTTCAGTTTACATAAAGCATTTGATGGAACTCTGTGTATGTCATGCTTATTGTTTCCTGGAGGGTTTTTAACTGACCTACTTTTCGCTTATTGATGGTTTCCTACCTACCTGGTTCCTTTTTGTCATTGAGTACTGCTGATTTATTAAGCTATCTGTTTCAAGGACATTGTAAAACTGCACATAGGGAATAGGACACAACTGTGAAAAGCAAGAATTACTATGTCAGATAATATCCAATTAAAATCCAGCTAGCACAGCAGGAGAAATTGGAACTAGGGTTTATCATTCATGTAATAGAATATATTGAAACATTAGTTAGAAGCGAAGTCATTATGAAGCAGAGATTCCTTTTTCCTCCAGTTGCTGGATTATTGCTATTGTACATTAGAATGAAGGAGAGTGTTGTGTCATGCTCCAGGACTGTATAAAGATGAGATCAGGGCAGAGAGGAATGAAAACTGGAGCATAAAGCTGTTGTATTATCAAAGGATTTATCACATGTTTGATTGACAGTGTTTGCTATTTAAACATGAACACAGGTAGAAGGCTTTATTTTTTTTTTACTTTTATGTGAGAACTGCCATGAGATTCAAGAAAGCCATAATGTTTGTGCCGCATCTCAATAATTTTACAGTCCTGGATTGCACCCTGGAAGATAGAAGAATGTTTAGAATAAGTAGGAGCAATTTAAATGTGCGTTAACTCTGGTATAAAGAGGATATGTATCATATAAAACATTTTATGTGATTTTTTTTTCTTTTTAAATCAGCAGACCATGGACCAAGCTGGATAGATTTCCTCTAGCCCCTAGAGGAAGCATGATATAAGCATTTTCAGACTAAATTAGATAATGTACTTTCTATAGGCATGAAATGGAGAGCATTGAATGTCTGAGACGCTACACATTGAATGTCTGAGACACTATATGTCCCCTTCGTTACCTGTTTTCCTTATTATCTTCTGGGAGGAGGCTTTGTGGCATCTGAAGCAGAACATCCAGATTCAAGCACATTTTTGTTCCATACAGTATTAGCCTTCTGAATTCTCAAGCTTCCTCTTTCAGCTATGTATTCAAGATGGACATGATTGATATTTATATGCATTTATATATTAGTGTATAGGTATATAGACATGTATTTATATAGCATATCTGTATGTGTATTTGGTATGTGTACACTTTCGAAAGCAGGCAACAGAATTTCATTTTTCAGGTGTGCCAGAGCGCCCACAGAAAAAATTATAATAAAGGTTATCTAGCATTTAAACCAAGTCTGTTGATCACCAGAAACAGAAAAGTCTACCCTGGTAAGTCTGTCGACCTCTATCAGAAACATCAGACCAATTAGTGGAGAAACACCCTTGCACGTGGTAATCCATCTAATGTTTTAGGTCCCCTCCCCCCATTTTAAAACTTTTAGGTAGATAATGTTTCTTTTTAACACAGGTTGTGTTCCTAAAGTGAGGCAGGGGTGGGATTCTACCAGTTCACACCTATTCGCTAGAACCGGTTGTTAACATTCTAAGCAGTTCGGAGAACCGGTTGTAAGAAGAAATTACTGGGCTAATCCTGTAAGGAAAGCAGGAAGGAAACATTCTGGTGTTGCTTACAGAAACTGCCTTTCCGTTAACCCTTATTACATTCTTGGCAGGACTAGACTTCCTGTCTCAGGAACTTCTCTGGAGTATTTTTCTCCTCCTTTGCTGGTACTTTGCTTGTGTGGAGTGACCATTCAAAGTTACAATGGCACTGAAAAAAGTGACTTATAACCATTTTTCACACTTACGACTATTGCAGCATCCCCACAGTCATGAGAGGCCAGGCGAGGAGATGCGTGCCTCGATGTGAGTGATGTTGATTTGGCCATGCCCAGCTAGTCACATGACCACCAAACCACACCCACCAACTAAGCCACGCCCACAGAATTGGTTGTTAAAAAAATTGAATCCCACCCCTGAAGTGAGGGCATCTCTACAATGTTATTGGACCATAGGTGTTATGGACCAATTTCTCCATGTACGCTGCTTTACATAACTGTTTGTAAATGGGGTTTAAATTTAACAAATGCTGAAATCTTAAAGCCTTATCTGTATAAATGATGTCTCTGGGGTGTTTACTCTTTTCAGGCAATCACAATCAATAATTAGGCCCTTCTACAGACAAATATTTAAAGACCTTGTCATGTATGTTCTTGTGGAGGAGCAGGCTGTACAGACAATTGCTGGCCTTCAGCCCTCCCTTTTGAGCCGTTTCCCCAGTGTTAGCATTGACAAAGTTGCCTATAAAAGCTTTGCTGTGGAACAGGATCAAGATCAACAAGAACAGGAACAAGATCAAGGGAGGTACTAATACCACTCTATAAAGCCTTAGTAAGACCACACCTAGAGTACTGTATCTAGTTGTGGTCACCACACTATAAAAAGATGTTGAGACTCTAGAAAAAGTACAGAGAAGAGCAACCAGGATGATTAGGGGACTGGAGGCTAAAACATATGAAGAACGGTTACAGGAACTGGGCATGGCTAGTCTAGTGAAGAGAAGGACCAGGGGAGACATGATAGCAGTCTTCCAATATTTGAGGGGCTGCCACAGAGAGGAAGGGGTCAAGCTATTTTCTAAAGCGCCTGTAGGCCAGACAAGGAATAATGGATGGAAACTGAACAAGGAAAGATTTAACCTGGAAACAAGGAGAAACTTTCTGACAGTGAGAACAATCAACCAATGGAACAGCTTGCCCTCGGAAGTTGTGGGAGCGCCATCACTTGAGACTTTCAAGAAGAGATTGGACTGCCACTTGTCAGAAATGGTGTAGGGTCTCCCACTTGGGTGGGGGGTTGGACTAGATGACCTACAAGGTCCCTTTCAACTCTGATTGTCTGTTGTCTGTTTATAAATAAGGTATGTGTGCTTCATGTTGCAAAACAGCTGGAAAGTAGCCAGAAAAAACAATGATTTTTTTTCTAATAGAAGGAAGAGTCTGGAGGAAAAGAGTAGAGAAAGCAGACTTATCAAGGAAGCAGAAAAACCTCTGGAGAGAGAAATTAAATTAGGTGTCAAAACAGGATTTGGAGGAAGAAAACCTTGTTAGTAATATTGTGGGGTGTAGCCTGGTACATGAGTAGTAATACAAGTTGTGTTTCTAGAGTGATCAGTCTAGTGAAGTAGAATTATTAGCAACAGGAGGGAATATAGACTGGCACAATAACATACCATTAGAGCTCTGTGTTCTGGTGCAGTTCTGTATGTTGGACAGTTTGCAAGCACACAATATCTCCTCAGACTGTGGGGAGAAATACATCCTGGTTGTATAAAGACTTGTGCTTGTTGATGGTTCTCTTGAGTCTTGGGTCGCCCAAACTTGATATAGTTTCAAAAGAACCTGTGACAATTCTCCATCTTCAAAGAAACTGATGCGTTTTTTTTCATGAACCTTATTCCACTTGTAGTGTTTAGCAAGGGGGCACAATAGCTCAGTGGTAAAGACGCCGAGTTTGTCAGCTGAAGAGCTGACAGGCTGGATTCAAGACCGAGCTCTGCACAGTGGGTGAGCTCCCTTACTTGCCCCAGTTCCTGCCCACCTAGGATGAGAAAGCATACCAATGCAAGTAGATTAATGAGTACCACTTCAGTGGGAATGCAACAGCATCTGGTTTGCCTCTGACATATAGCGATGCTGGTCACATGACCCCAGAAATTGTCTTCAGACAATGCTGATTCCCTCAGCTGAGGAATGGAGATGAGCACTGTGGTCTAGAGTCGGATATGACTGGACAGGAAAACCTTTACCTTTACCTTTAGTGTTTATCAGCTGAGTATTTTTGAGAGGCTAATCATTCATCAAATTGACATAGCCATTCATCTCATCAAATGCAGCTTTTATTAAAGAGCATATCTTTAATTTCAAATCTGAAAACTGAACAGAACAAAATTTCATTTGTAGCAAAATATGTAAAATTCTATCAATTTCTATAAAATTTGTTCTACCTTTTTTCTTTCTTCTCTTAGTGAAAAAAAAATCATGTTTGTTTTACAGAGAAAAAATTGAAAGAAAATACCGTCAACTATATGGAAGTGCTAGAAGAAAAACTGCAAAGGTAAAGGCATCCTGGGATCTTTCAAATTTTTAGAAAATGTTTTCAGTGCTGTCTGATTCCTGGGCATTTATGTTGTTTAGTTATGTGTTTAATTATATTGGACTGGATATAATTCAAGGAATTAGTTTGAATCTTTAAGTTAAAATATATTTCACTGGGGGTATCAGAGGATTAGCATATTACAAATTCTCCAGAGTAGGTGGGCCAGGGATTTTGACATGCCCTTTTCTTTTCTTTTCATTTTTTATTGTAATGATGGACTTCACTTTCTCTCTTACAGATATAGATAGGTTAACCTCTCAGAAATCTAACATATTCATTTGATATGATTTTCTACTCCAGTCCATGGAGAATTAGCTGGTTATCTTTCTGAATGATGATGGCGCAGTGTTGGAGATTCCTACTTCTGAGTACAGTTTACTATGATAGCTTATTCCTGCTATAAGGTGTTTGGGATATCAAATGCCATTGTTATGAATTCTCTTTATGTATCCAGAGAATGTGTCACATGTGTCTCCAAATGGGTAGAATATGGAGAAATCCCAGTTTACCTAGAGTAGCAGGAATTTGCTTGGGGATAAAACTGGAATTCGCTTGCGCTTGTGACATACTGTCCAAAATGTGCCATACTAGACTGATACTTTTCTTTCCAATAACAGGAATGATGCATCTGACTAGGGCTGGTAACACAGGTGTCCTCGGGACAGTAAAAAAAAGGTCAATATTCATACATATGGTCAAAGCCCCATGATTTTTTCCTGTGAGGCTTTGAACACATGGTTGCGACCACTATCTTGACTTTTCTGAGCCGCTCCCCACTTCATATATCCCAGTCTGGTAACCCTTTCTTTAATCTTCTCCCAAAGTATTTTGTAAAAGCAGATGTGATAGAAGTAAATGATATATGAGAATAAATGGAAAGCTTAGATAATGGTTCAACATTGAGCAGGAAGTAGGATAAGGATGTGATATATGATGTTTCTTTAGGTGCTTAATATATTTATGGATAAATATGTAAAGAATGCTTGTAATGATGTTGGAGGCACATTGACTGGAACCTGACTGTATTTTTGTCAATAGATTTGTTGCAAACCTGAATGTTTTGCAGTAAATGTGAAGATAACTGATACGATATAAGATACTGAATCTGAAAATTAGTGTGTTAAATAGTTTTTATCAAACTTATGTACATTTCAAAATCTGTAAAGGATGCAGCCATCCCTGAGTGCACTGTCCACTCCTTTGACAGATTTGGAGAGTTTATAGATGAAAAACAATCTTTTTTAAAAATATATGAACTTGGTCAAGAAACTAGATGGACAAACACTTCAAATTGTAGCCTTGGGTGAATGGGGCTTGCTTATTTATTTGACTGACTGACTGAAGTCCCACAAATCTTAAAGTTGCCAAGTTTGTAGTTCTGGATCCATAGAGGATATAAAAGGTTTCAACCTTTTTGCTTTCTAAAAATTTCATGCCAAGAAATGAATTATTAAAGCCTTGTTTACTCTTTGGCAATGAACCAGATATGGATTAACACATGTTTTTTTTTTCTTGAGCTGAAGACATATTTAGCCTCTATGTTGCATGCTAGTGACTGTATACAGAAAGTAATGGGCAGACTGACAATTAAATTTAAATTTGATTTCATTTCTTTTACATATAACTAAAAATGAGCAAACTTAATATGGTCCCTGTCATGTATTTCATAATGTTCCTCTTCTGACAACACATTCAAGGACATTCAGTACTTTAGAGGGTGGTCCCGGGCCTCTGGTTGTGCAGCTCCAGATTTAAAAAAAATATCTAAGTTGAAATACTGGAAAATCCTCTATATCTGCCCCCAGTTAGCCTTTTTTTCTGTAGCTCTCAGCTGAATTTTTCCACGGTTTATTGTATCATGTCATCAAATAATTTCCTGTTAGATTCTCAAGAACTTTGAAGATCAATAAGAATTCTACTCCTTATATTCCACAAATATAGAAAGCAAGAAAAGAAAATTATTCTTTAATCCTTATTCAGATAAAGCTTGTTTCTTCTTTTTCATTTCTGGAACTCCTATGGAGATTAATCTTCTAGCTTTGAAGAGCTCTGTTGCTTCCCTTAAGGCTTTGGTTGCCTCTTAAATGGCTTATCTCTTGGTGTTGTGTTTCCTTTATAACAGGATTATCTAGGTATTTACATTTTTAAAAAGTTCCTCATATGAATAGTTGTTTTTAGAAAGGGCAAGGTTGTGTTGGTTTCTCTGTACCAGTATATATAGAATATCTTATTGTCACTGTGAAGCAACTAAAGGACATCTAACTATCTTATAATGTACATTAATTAAAGATTGCTGAACTAACTGGGAAATAATATAACAATTTGAAGGAAGGCAGATTTGAAAGCAGTAATGGTTACTAAAGATTGCCACCTAAAATAAGTAGAATTTAATTGGCTATTCCTTGCTGGCAAATTCTACAAGTAATTGCATAACATTGTCCATTTTAAATGTTTCATTTGAAAATGGTCAGAAAAAGAATGGAAGAAATATTCATCTAGTACCTCAAAACGTTGTGTAGAAAACTGTATGGATTTGTCATTGTGGTCCCCAGGATTCAGTTCTGACTCCAAAGAGAGCAAATGGCACCTAAAAAAAAACTCTGTAAAAATTACAATAAACTTGGCACAAGCTGATAATTCCACAGTTCCAGTTCTACCAGGACAGATGCCTTGTTATATGTTAACAGATGGATTTTCCTTAAAAACGGAACAAAAGTCTGCTGGAATGAATGTTGCAGTTATGATCACACTAAAGAGAGGGGGGTGTTCTTGTACATAAAAGCCATAAAAGTATTCTTCCCAGGTAGTTTTTTTGGAATGGCACTCAATTTGAGAGGATACTGAATCTACTCTAGCAAGCAATTTGCACCGTGACTTTGTAGCATCCTATTGTGGGTTCTCTGGTATGGTGACTTACACTTGGCTCTAGCACCTTATTGCTCCAAACTCTTCAGCGTTTTTGGCTGACCTCCTTGCCTATCACTTTTGCCAAGTCATCTTGTCTGGCTCATGTGCATTTATCATATTAGTTTTTTCCCCCATGGTTCTTTGCTACGTTTGGTTAGATGAGTATTAATGCTCATCTAAGATTAATCTCATCTCAAAATGAGATTAATGCTCATCTGTCTTTGACACACTCAGATCATCTGGTTGGAAGTACTACTTTTAAGGTTACTTAGTAGAGGTAGACTTTTTCATCTTTGGTCAGATTGAAGATCTGGATGTGAGAGAGAGAAAAAAGGACAAGTTTATAATAGTCGCTATGGAGTTTTCAATGTCTCCAAAGAGTGCTGAGCATTTACATTGGGATGGTCCCTTGATAATTCGATGAATAATGATTAGATTTCTATTTTGATAAAGAAAACTATACCAGGAATGAATGGAAAACCATTATTTTTTGTGTCTCTGTTAGGGAAGTCCAGATTTATCTTTGGGTGGCTATAATATTCAAATGATTCTTTATGAGCACTTTTCCTTGAAAGTACTGACACAACATTGCATTGCTGGTAGAAGATGCTGCCTTTACTGTGCCTTTAAGTACGAGGAGATTATGCCATAGAATTAAATATCACAAACGTTAATTTCTGGGGGAAAGTAGGCATGCAGCTGTAATAATTTTTGATCACTGATAGGTTTTTGTTAGGTATAACATTGATACCAAATATGGTTTGGGTGAATAAATATATAAAACTTAGATATCATGGTTTAAGTGCTTATCACTTTAAGCACAATGCAGCAGACAATTAGCCGATTAAGGGTGCGGTTAGAAGTTACAATATAAGGAAGC